GCCGGTTTTTTAAAATGGACATAACATTATTTTATTAATATTAATATTCAAATTTTACAACTATCAGTTTTCAATCAGTACCTGACGATTGCATCGTGCATGAAACTCAGTATTGAACCAAAGGGTAAGGAAAATGTGTATTTATTATTAATAGTGTATATATATATATATATATATATATATATATATATATATATTGATATTGATATTTTAAGTTCGATTTAAAAAATAACCATTTATTTTCATTTATCTCGGCTATGCAGTTACTCCGATGAAATCAAATTTATTGACGCCCCCTGTATAATGCTATTTCCTTTAAATCGTGTCCTATATAAATCCAGTATAGCACATAATTTCGTAATTTTTTATTAATTTGTAGAATCGATATTTGCTGGCAATTACGGAAGTGAAAAAGAACTCGATCTGGAGAACAAATATGATCGCCTCGTCGAACGGAGAGACCAAATACGTATGGCTAAAAGCAACTTGGAACATGGTCGTTATTTAATGAGGCACGCTGTAAGGCAGACCTATTTCGCTATGCAGAAATGGCAACAAATTTCGAGCGAAATGTTTGTATATTTCATTCTTTCTTTTCTTTCATCGATACACTTCCCATCACCTACCCTTCCAATCATATCAGACCTCCAATTTCTCATAATCATTTTAACAGTAACGCTCTACATTGGGTGGCTCTCGTACCTTGTATTAAGTAAAATTTGTTATTAAAAAAAAACTTCAGATGCATGGCTCAGGGTAAAAATAGGAGAAACAGCGCTATTCAGCTCGGGGTTCTCCCCTTTCATTTTTGTCGGCTTTATATATAAAAAAAAAAGACCAAAAATACACACACACAAACACACACACACACACACACACATATATATATATTGATATTTTAAGTTTTCTTTTAAAAATAATCATCTTTATTTTCATTTGTCTCAAATGATATCAAATTTTATGACACACCCTGGATAATGTTATTTCCTTTCTCGAATTATCTTAGATTTTTCGAAAAAAATATATAAATCCAGTATAAGACATAATATAACTGGTATTTTCTGGATTTTTCCACCTCTTCGCTTTCTCTTTCTCTCTCTCTCTCTATCTATCTCTCTCACTATATATATATGTATATATATATATATATATATATATATATGTGTGTGTGTGTGTGTGTGTGTGTGTGTGTGTGTGTGTGTGTGTGTGTAAATGAGAACGAATAGAATCCAATTCCGACGTTCGTAATATTCAATTTAAAAGAGTGCTCAATTCGAAAGTAGAGCAATATTCTTTATTTTAGGATGTTATATCAAAAACATGTAAAAACGCTACACAAATGCAATCATGTTTCGATGCGTACTAACACGTCTCATCAGGCGTTAGTAAATGACTTTTAAGTAGACAATTTATTGAGATTTCAATTTGTATATTTATTTGAAAATCTCAATAATAAATTGTCTACTCACCAGTTATTTACTAACGACTGATGAGATGTGCTAATACGCATCGAAACATGATTGCATTTGTGTAGCGTTTTTAGGTGGTTTTGATACACCATCCTAAAATAAAGTATATATATATATATATATATATATACATATATATTCTACATATACGCACGTACGCACAGATGAGTTCATATATAAAAAGAATGACCAACAAACTCATGTTTATATTAAAATGACCAGTAATTGTATCTGTAGTTGAGAGCATATAACTAAGTTCAAAATATATTTAGTTGAAGCCATAAAATTTTGTTACAAATATTTAGATTTCGCTATTAAATTACCCATAGAGGTGTTGATATGCCTCTAAACAAAATCAACCAACCACTACACTTTCCTCATATACAGCAATTCATAAGAAAGGGATTGTCAGTGGTCAGGAATAAAGGCAAGCATTACTGATAGAATAGGACTCTTATATGTACAATTGAAATGCATTGCTAATAATTTTAATATAAGAATGCATTGAAAATCAAAAGGAAGAGGATTATCAGTGGTCAGGAATTAAGGCAACCATTACAATGTACAATGAAAGAGCATTGCTAATATTGATTTTAACAAGTTTCAGCAATTTACACAAAATTACATTAGAAATTTCCGTTTTTACAAAGTTTTGAAAAACATTGAAATTTACGTTGAAAAACTAGCTTAGGGCAATTTCGAGTAGTTTTTGAATGTTAAACACGGTTGTTTGAAAATATAATTTGGTATTTGAAAACATTACAAAACCAATAAAATTATTGTAAATTCGAAAAATATTGGTTTTAACAAGTTTCAACGGTTTACACAAAGTCAGTGGTCAGGAATGAATGCAAGCAATACTGGAATAGGGCTGTTATATGTATTACGGAAATGTACTGCAAATGATTTTACTTAAGAATGCATTAAAAATGAGGAAGAAAGGGATTGTCATTGGTCAGGAATGAATGCCAGCATTACAAATAGAATAGGGCTATTATATGTATAATGTAAATACATTGCAAGTTATTTTGCACTTCAGGGACACAATGCAGCAGTTTTCACTGATCACCCAAGCACGGAACAGTCTCCTCGCTGCAGGACAGTATATCGAACATGCGGCTCGCTATGTACCACACATAAAATTCCCCTACTGCGCCCCAACAATGATGGCGTCATTACATAGCGCATGCGCCAATATCTATAACGACGCAAGAGGGCAACAAAGCCACCAGGTAGCAGCACAGCTACATTCGGCTTTCTATCAAGAGATCAATTGGCTGCTTCTCTGGTTTAATAAAGTAAGTATATTATATTTATGCCACACACGCGCGCGCGAGCGCATATATATATATAATTTTCGAATAAATAATTATATATATATATATATATATATATTATAATTATTTTTAAAAAATATGATTCCATCGCTACATAGGAATTACCATGTTTCAAAACCAGAAGATAAAAAACCTCAAATTCAATTATAGAAATTAAATTAAATTTAAGTACCTAGTTCTGTTTCATCCTTAAGTGAATTTTGAATTTGCATATATATATATATATATATATATATATATATATATATATATATATATATATATATATTGAATAATATAGACATCTTGTGTCTACTTATTTTTATACTGATCCTTTCCAGTTGTCTAATCAGTTTCTTGATGTTGAAATGAAATTCAAGGAAGGCACCATAGTTTTTTTTAACCTAAGTACTTTCGACCTTTTCTAAGATCTTCTTCAGGTGTAAGTTACAAAGACAAACATATTGTAACTGCGATAAAATCTGCATTACGTTTGTAATAGTAAAAATTTCATAACTACAACGGATAAATTTTAAAATTCTTAATTAACTATAACAGCGCGTTCACGCGTGTTTTAAAAATCACTATGACAACGGAATGCAAATGTTATCACAATTACAATAGCTGGTTTGTAATTTACCCCTGAAAATGGTCTTAGAAAAGGTCGAAAATACTTTTCTTTAAAATAACTTCATATCAAGAAACTGATTAGACAACTGGACAGGACCAGTGCAAAAATAAGTAGATACAATCTGTATATTACTCAATGAAACCTGTTTGAATCAAGATATGCTGCCTAAATTTAAAAAAAAAACACAACCCAAGCTACATTAATTATAAACATCCCCTAACGTAACATTGATGCAACAATGGGTAGCTATGATTGCGTCTCAGAGGCTCATATAGGCATATATATAATCAATAAATTAAAAAATATTATTAGCAAAAGAGATATAGGGACAACGGTCTATTAATCCTAAGAAACTGAAACGGCAGAGCTACAGAAAAAAATGAAACAAAAATAATTAAAAAAAAAAACCTTCAAAACTTTAGGATTCACAATGGATATAAAATCAAATCAAAAAAAATTTTTTAGTCATAACAACCTAAACAACGGAACATACAAACCATGCAGAAAACCAAACAACAACCCAATAAACATTAACAACAATTAATAACAATTCTAACCACACCTTAACGTATTTAAACAAATATCCGTATCTATAAATAAAAGAATTTTAGCAAGTTCTAGTAGCCTAAATAAAAAAAAGCATATGAATCAGCCCTAAGAAACAGTGGATATTCAAACAAACTAGAATACAAAAACGAAAAATAATTCAAACAAAAAACAACAGAAAAAGAAATATAATTTGGTTCACCACCACACCCAGAACAATACAATAAAAACAAAAATACGGAAAATATTCTTCAAAATAATTGACAAAAACTTCCCTAAAAGCAGCAAAATTATCAACAAAAATGCAATCAAAATTAGTTACAACTGCATGAATAACATGGAGAAAATAATAACTAAGCCCAATAAAAAATAATCAACAAGACCAATAACAATTACAACAACAATAACAATAACATACTGCAAAAATAACACCATTAACTGTAACTGCAGAAACAAAGAAAATTGTCCGCTTAACAATAAATGCTTAACCAATAACATAATATACAAATCCATTGTAAATAACACCATCAACACAGACGAAAAAATTTACATACGGGCCACAGAAAAACTTTTAAAGAAAGATATTATAACTAGAATATGTCATTCGAAAGAAAAAACAATAAAATCCTATCAAAATGCATATGAAGCTAAAAAGAAAACAATATCCCCTCTAAAATCAAATAGGAAATTATAAAAAGACAAGCCCATGCAACAGCCCATATTAACAGCAACAAATGTAAATTATGCTTAGAGGAAAATTTAGCAATAATTAGTTTTAAAAAAACAAAATAAACTCTTAAGCAAGAAAACTGAAATAATGGGCAAATCTAGGCAAATAAATAAACATTTACTTTGCCATCTAAGCACGTGACCGCCAAGAACACAAACCGCTTGAACTCAACCCTGTAAAATTACTATGTAGCAGTCACACACAGAATTTCAGCATCTAAAAACACATCCTTGATAATGACTAGAGAAGTAGCCGAAAGCGCTCGGAATAATTATAACTATGGACAAATTTTAACCCCTGAAAAACGG